TAGACCGTTGCTCCAAGCCTGGACGATTCTTCTCAAATCCCAGGTATCAGCCCAGCTCAAGACATGGAAGTCATTGCCAACAACAAAGACCGGGTTGCTGGCGACCACAGCCTCCTGCAGGGTCCAAGCCCTGAAGAACCAGGACCTCGTCGCGAAGAACATGAGATATGTGATCCACTGATTCTTCAGCGAGGTATTCTCGAGCTTGAGCCCAAGATCTACCAAGAGTCGTTCATCGCCCGGTCCATACGACTGAAGCCACTTGAAAAATTCCTGAAATGAGGACAACTGTTTCTGACGCTCTCGGATTGCCGGCAACAGCTCTTTGTATATCCAGTACAGACCCTGGAGGTCTCGGTCGTGCTTCCCTAACCAAATGTACACCGCCGAAGCCTGCGCATAGATCTCACCCATGAGTGGGATCTGGACGGCCTTTTCTTGAGGGTTCGTCTGGTCTATGCAGATGGCATCGATCCAAACGAGAGGTATGTGTGCACCGCGTTCCTCGGATCGACTCGTCAAGCTTAGAAGAAAGTCAGATAGGTTCTCAGTCATCTCATACTCGGAGAGCCGCGATGGGTCGACCCAGCTACAATCGCTGATTTCATTGTCGTCGCTTAGCATGCGACGAAAATCTCCGGGTTGGACCAAAATGAGTCTCGCTTTGGCGATCGTCTTCTCAGGCTTGACACTGTATGGGCCCCATCGCTCTGTAGACGTGACTGGATGGCCCCATGTGTAGGACAAAGCCGCATACTTCGTGGTTGTCTTTTCGGTGTCGCCCAGTACTACCTGGTGCAGTGTAGCAAAGATCTCGAGGTTTTCCTCGTTGAACTTGAAGATCTGGACTACTCTAATCGAGCGCGGTGTTCTCAACGGTTCGTATGTGAGTGGCTTCAGGTTCGTAAAGTAACGGGTTGATCTTGGTGGTGATTGTGATCGATGTCGTCCACGAGACGCAACCTTGGCGCTAGTGTTCGAAAGTTGCTGCTTTGGTTTGAAGTATCGTCGGTCCATCGTACGTTAGATGAAGCATTTACTGGTCTTTGAATGCTTACCCATGTCTGCTCTTTGCCCCTGTATAGTGATCGAATGGCTAAGATTTATGTCGGTATGCGAGAAATTAAGAGCTCTAGGCACCAGGCTCCGGTTGTCGGCATCGGTCATCCGGCTCCAAAAGTCTTGTCCAATCGTTGAGCTGACGAGAGTGTGACCCTAGTCCAGCCCCATCTCAACAAGGTGGCTTGATGGCTTCAAGTCTTCTTGTTGAGCGAAGTTTTCATGGACGAATATCTTTCTGAACTTGATTCAGATTCAATGATACCCCCCGGAAGTTCATCCATAAGGTATGGGCAGGATTCTAGGTGTTGATTCAGAACAATTGTTGTCGAGATCGATTCGCCGCATCAAGCGACTTCGGTGAGTTTTTAGTTAGAGTAATTATGTTATTTTTATGTGTTCTTCTTGCGTAGCTCAATGCTGCTGCTACTACGACGCCGAGGGTTGAAATTGAGCGAGAGCATTTGAATTTCGAATATGTCATCTGACTGAGTGTTGGCAACTTCGTCTCGTTTCGTTGGGACAAAGTGAAGATTGTAAGTCCGATGCATCATCGTCATGTGGAAACTCAACGTAAATGTGATAAGCTTTTGTGATCCATTAACTCTTAGAAATTCCATTCGACATCAGTTTTGTTCTCTACAGTGTGATGCGGATATGTTTATTCTGGCTCTAGTCTACAACGTCTCAGGCAGCCTGCCGTCGCCTTCCCCTCTCCCTTCCAAATACCTTGTGCCCCGAGAGACTAAAGTTTTCCAGGGTATCCGTCAAAGTATCTGCAGAGCCCAGCGTCATGGTTGACTCATCTGATCCGCGAGAAGAGAACGACCCTTCCCTCCCGGGCCGTCTTCTGTGATGAGCGGGATGTCCACACCTACGCCGACTTCTCAACTTATCTGGCTTCTCAGAGAATTGAGACGCAGTATCTGCAAGCGATTCATTAATGCTGGCACTTCGGCTGAGCATTCCAGTGCTCGTGTTGGATGATGCCTCGAGCCCCTGATCCGCTGAAGTGCCCGGCTTTCCGTGCCTTCTTCGTCTGTGAAACTTCTCCGCTGCTGCTTCTGCTGCTCCAAGGTGTTTGGGTGGACGCCTGTCTAGCTTCTTGCGGGATGATGTCCTCTTTGCCTTTGAATCGTCGAAAGTTTCCGGAGTCTCTGTGTCCCTTCCATCTTTTGAACCAGAAGCTCTGAGTTGCTCTACGTGCGCCACAGCCTTGTTCTGATCTACGTCCTTGGGTGGTGTTGCAGGCGGCGTATCAAAGTCGGTGGCTTCTAGCTCTGGTCGTAATGTAGTCGCCCGACTCAACGATGTCTGCAAACCCAAATCCTTGGGGGAGAAATTGATGAGATCCTCTACTTCGGCTTCTTCCTCCATGACTGGCTCGAGATCTGATGTCGCAACAGGCGACTCGTCCGCACTCTGCTCGACTGATGAGCTGGTACGCGTGCTGAAAGAGGCATATCTTTGGAGCGCTCGTCGGTATGTCTTAGTGTTGATTAAGTCGTAGTCAAAGTCAAACTCTGTGGTGCTAATGACTGAGTCCCTGTTCCTCGGGACACCGACCACGCTGCCTTCATCCAAGGAATCGGGACTCGCTGGTCGGAAGCCAGGGACCTTTGGATAGTACGCCGCAGGTTCTCGGACGTCTTGCTTTGCTGCGTTCAAGGTTGACTGATTTTGGATCAACAATGTCTTTATGTCCTGGGTTGATCGACTATGGTAAGGTTAGTAGACATAGAATAATATGCGACGGATAGTCACTTACAGGTTCAACGTCTGCGTCAATAGCGTCAACGTAGCTTTCTTGCGGTCTAGTCGTCCAAGCAGCCTTGTCATCTCTCCCTCCTTCCACAGGACTTTGATCTTGGTCTTCCAGTCAGTCCGGAGAAACAGATCCTCGTACTCTTTGCTGATAGACAAAAGCGTAGCATGACACCCGTTGACGGCCACGGTAAAGACATCCTCCAAGCCTAGCCGGTCAATGGCTTCTGGGTCCTGAAGCACGACGCTCTCAACCTGTCGGAGCGCTATTTGTACCGCATGTGCCTCTTCAGCAATGTCTGCTATATTTTGCGGTGCGTCGTCATAGGCGTCGATGGTCTCTTTAACTTTCCAAGAGGCTTTCAGGACGGCGCCTGCCAGAGAAGCTGCAGCAGTGACAATGGTTACAGGATCCATGATGGTGGGTGGAAGAGTAAGGACCCTAATTTACGGCCGATCTTCGAAAATCAGGGTACTGCTTTGGTTTTGTTCTCATCCTTTGTCCGAACTTTGTTTCATCGGGCCGTGCATGTTGCGATGGAGATGCAGTTTTGAAACACCAGGCGAGGTGGAAATGCCGAGGTTGTTCAACTTAAGCTTCATTGCACATGCATCATGCTCTGATTCGCTCTAGTTTACCTATAGAATTTGAGGCCAGAGATGAGGTCTTAATGGCAACTTGTGAACTTTTGACCGAATCTCATAGTACTTCATGTTTCCATGTCAGTCCCTAGAGGTACGCAACCTCATTGGAACTTTTGTGCCTAAAGCTCCTGTGGTTTTTCATGACTTCAAGAGGAGGTCCAGACGGCCCAAAATAAAATACGAAAGGCCAAGAAAGTCCGGAGTATTATTCAGAAATAAATGTTGATTACGTACCTACCTAAACTATCGTGTCGGCCATATGCTATACCTTAGGTAGTTGACACCTTGCTAATTATGCCGAGTTTAAGAGCAGAGTGAAAGTTTTGAGCGTATCTTCAAACGAATAATTTGGGCACTGGCGAAACAGTCACCTCATATCTACTGGAATGTTGCGGACATTCTTGAATTGAAAGGGAGTCGAAGATGTAGTGAGTCGCATCAGGGGTTGGATACTTCTCGCCAAGCCAAGGTGGCATTTCTCACGAAGCATGGATCTGCCGTTGTGTTTGATCGCTACTGTCAATCACTTGAACAGTGGTTGAGTGGATGAAAAGCGGCTGCGTCGCTGTCCTTCATTTCAAGTAATGCGCTGAAATGAGTGCCGAGACCTTCATTCTTTAATCGATAAGATAGGCCCACGAGATATGAAAGCTACTGCTTCATGATGTCTCTCAGCAACGGCGGTGCATTTAGTGATTCTGTGCTTGTGAGCATCCGTTGGAGCAAGGGGAAGTCATTACGCTAAACCGAATTTAGGGCCTTACGAGAGACTTTCAGCTCGGTTTACGGAACCGAGCTAATTAATCCATGATCCCCGCTCTTGCATAGCTGAGTGAGCTGTGCTTCTTTGGCTGACTGGTTACGGTGCGTCTGAGGTCACCCCGCGGTGGCTCCCAACGGTTGGCCCCAGGGCCCTCGAACACGTCTAGACTTTAGACACTATGGCGGGCTGTTTGACGCCGTCTTATAGCTAATGTTGACCTCGGACTACATCATACAACTCCGCACAGCTCTCACTCACCCAGGCATCACCAAACATGAGGAGCCGGTGAGCTTTCGGGCCACCTGAAGTCCTGAACAAGGCGGCAAAGGAGCATGGTGTGTCAGCGCTGCGTGTGCTGGCGGAGCTTCCAAGAGCCCCCAAGAGACCCCAAGACCCCCTGGCCCGAGAGTCCGGTGGATGATCTCACAGGTTTGCGGATCAAGTCCAGGCTCGTCGGACTCTCAAGTCCAATAGATGTTTTGCCCAGGCCGCCCATTAGCCCCCCTAGGCGCATTCCCGTCGTTTACTTTCGTATTTGTCTTGGCGACGCACAATCCATCCGCCAAAGGGACGAGTCGAGATTGGATGGCAGGATGGGTAGGCCCTTGCACCGCCCCAATGCCCAGGCGAGCTGTGCCTCTTGGTGCCTCTTAGTAGCTTCTTGGTGTTGTTCTTCTGGCTTTTACACCGCGTCATTGTCCTTCTTGGAAGCATACCTCTTTGGCCTGGCTGGTGTGGCCCTGTTCCAAGGTTCAATATTCTCCTCTTGTGCACCCTGACGGATGAAAACCCGGTACCATCTCGTTCGCTTCCAGTTGGAACTTTGTCCCCATGTCGCCAAGGCAAAGCCATGAATCAGCAGGAATCCTGAGAGGATGCTCGCGAGGAGCCCACATCTGCGCCAAGATGCGCGAAGGGGGAACAAAAGTAGCATGACTGCCGCCAGTATGCTCTTCCCCGGATTTTCTCCCAGATTAACTTGCTCTAGCTGCTTTCCGCATCTTCCGGTCGTTCGTCTGCGCTTCTCCCTAGATAATTCCAACTTTGCTGATCCTCCTTCTTGTTGATTCTCGGGGTTGTTCTCGTCCACATGCAGCAGCCTACTCCCAAGACGTACCAAGTTGAACTATAACAACGTCCAAAACTCGACCCCGGCGGTAAAGATCAGTTCGCCCGCGTTAAGCGAATCTTCCAGGAACTGAGCCCTTCTTATTCCCAAGCGGAACGGCTGTAATTACACGAGATCTTCCTCGTGTGCATCTCTTCGAACCAGCACGCGGGCCATCGGTTTGGAGGTGTCGAAATCTGCGCCCCATCTTCCTCAGCGACACTTGCACCGGAGAGATTCCGACCATGAACCACTGATCGTACACTTACCGCTTGACCAGTCGCTCGTTTCGCTTTTCTACCATAAAAGCCCAGGCCAGGGCGTATATCAAGTTGATCACTCGCTCAAAATGCTGTCATCCCATATCCCGAGCGCAGTGCCGCTGGCGTTATGGGCATTCTCCAGAGCTGCCGATGCGGCGTACTCAATAGACACTCGAGGTACGCATAGGAAGGACCAAAACGCACCGTAACCCGTGTAACGCGAGAGAGTCTAACAAACCTCACTGCCTAGAGGATATCCTCACGACGGCCAGCACACTCGCGTACGATCTCATGAAGTTTTACGAAGGAAACAAGACGGGAGAAATCCCCGGTATCTTGCCAGGACCACCAGATTCGGGCGAAGGCGATTACTACTGGTGGCAGGGCGGCGCTATGATGGGAACGTACGTCGACTACTGGTATTACACGGGCGACGAAAGTTACAACCACGTCGTTACCGAAGGAATGCTCCATCAAGTCGGAGAGGGCCGTGATTACATGCCACGGAACCACACTGCCTCTCTCGGCAACGACGACCAAGGGTTTTGGGGCATGACGGCGATGCTCGCGGCCGAGAACAAATTTCCCGACCCCCCAGAAGATAAACCGCAGTGGCTTGCACTCGCACAAGCCGTCTGGACGACTCAAGCGGATCCGGAAAGACACGACGAGACGTGCGGCGGCGGTATGCGGTGGCAGGTTCCCAGGACTAACACGGGGTACGACTACAAGAACACAATTTCGAACGGATGCTTCTTCAATATCGGTGCTCGACTCGCTCGTTATACCGGCAACGATACGTATGCTCGCTACGCCGAACAGACATGGGATTGGCTATGGGCGGTAAACTACATCGATCACGAGAACTGGCGAGTCTACGACGGTGCTCATGTGCCGAAGAACTGCACCAACATCTTCAAGGCAACCTTTTCATACAATATTGCCGTATTGATGCAAGGTTGTGCGTTTTTGGCGAATCATGTAAGTGACTCTATGCCCATGTATCAGCCGAGATGCTGACCCTCCACAGACGGGAGAGCAGAAATGGTTTGACCGCACCGAAGCCCTCGCAAACCGCGCCATTGAAGACTTCTTCGCCGATGGCGTCGCATACGAAATCCCCTGCGAATTTGAGACCGGCCGCTGTTCCCAAGACATGCTTAGCTTCAAGGGATACGTCCATCGCTGGATGACTGTGGTAACGCAACTCGTACCCTCGACCCGCGACCTCATCCTTCCGGTCCTGCGCAACTCCACTCTATCAGCCATCAAGCAGTGTACAGGCGGTGCATCGGGTCGCGCCTGCGGATTTTACTGGAACAAGGGCGTATTTGTCGACCCGGCTGTCGATAAGACTTCTGGCGCGGGCGAGGCTATGAATGTGTTGGCTGCGGTGCAGAGTCTGCTGGAAGTGGCACCTCCTGCTACGAATACCACTGGTGGCACTTCAAAGGGTGACCCCAATGCGGGAATGAACTCAAATCCGTTCAAGGAGTTTGACCCCCTGACTACCGGTGACCGTGCTGGCGCCGGCATCTTGACGTTTGTGGTTCTCTCGAGCGCTATTGGGATCTGGGTGTGGATGTCGCTTGGGTACCAGGAATGGACTGAAGGAGAGAAGGGTAAAGGGAAAGCTCCCCCCATGACTGAGAAGGTTGATACCTCGGTGGAGAGTGTAGCACCGGCGAAAATGGTCAGCTCGCAAAGCTAGAATTGTATTGAGGAAGAAGCCCGTCAACAGCAGGGAAAGTTTTACGAAAAACACTCTGTTAGCCCTGCGGCTTGTGGCGACATGAGTATCTACCAACAGCATATGTATGGCGTTCAATGCAATGAATTTAACAAGAGAGATTCAATCTAGTCGTTTGCTTCCTAATCTTCTTATAATTCTAAACCACACATGGGATTGTGCTTCCGCTCAGCAATGACGTCGGTTTGCTTTTGAGGTCATTACAACCAAACATGTACTTATGTGCATTTCGGTCTTACCAGACTATGGAAGAATAAATAGACCTCGATTGCTTATGAGAGATTTACGACTGCAAAGAAATGTCATTAGGTACCTCCATGTATATGTCTAACTCAAGATGTATGATATTAAAACTCATAAGATCGTGGGTATCGCACTATAAATACAAAACATAATCGTGTCATGTACAGCAACTATCCTCGTTCACTTGCTCAGTCTTCTTTCATACCATCATTTACTTCGTGTGCGTGACATGGTCGGCGGTATAAGCAGGCGCCATCGGGGCTACGCCGCCGTTGTTCGGTGCCACGTACCCAGCCTCACCAGGCTGAGCCATGTGCGCATATCCGTAGCCCTGGTTCTGACCTTGTCCGTAACCTTGGGTGTAGCCATAGCCGTTGTTGGTGTTGTTGTTTCCGTATCCCGGGCCGGGCGGAGGGGCGTCAGTGCCGATGCTGGATCGGCCGTCGCCACCGTAGTATTTGTTCATCTCCTGCTGACGTCTCTTGCTCTGGGTCTTGTGTCGGCGGAAGAGACAGATGCCGATGATGACAACGGCGAGGAAGATGACTACGCCGACGACGATCGCTGCGATGATGCCGCCTCCGATTACCCGGACACCGCTTCGAGTTCTGCCGATACGAGTCGAGGTTGTGACGCGGGCGACGACCTTTGCGACATCGCGAGCAGCGTTTGTGGCTTCGACTTGGATGGCGGGCATGTTGGTGTATTAATCCTTTGACTTTGATTTAAGATAAATGGTTTGTGATACTGTGACTGTTGTGATTTGATAGAGACTTCTTTTCGAGTTGACAACTTGTTGCGATCAAATTTAGTGAAGGAACTGACTGAGTCTTTATCACTCAAAGTTAAAGCACTGGACTTCTAGAACGTCATCCCAAGTGCTTCAAGCCACACGGCAGAGACAACAGCGTTGATCACCACCCTAGTGATCTTCCATCACCGCCTCAGATGGTGCCAAACCAGCGCGATGCCAAATGACATCGGCTGTGGCACAGCATAGATCGAACCATCCCAATTAGGCAGTACGAGTGGCTGTCCGTTGCTGTCACGACTGAAATCATTGTATTGACACGTCTGGCTGCCTGATTCCAAGTCGTTGTGTATGGTTGCAAAGTTGTAGCGGCCGCAGTAGCGCAACGCCAAAGTCGCGGGATCGGCCGTTGATGTCATCGGTCTCACTGCCAAGGCGAAGGAGTGAGACCAGCCACAGCGACGCTAGACTACCACCAGCACAGAGTAGACCTGTATTTTTGCTCGGCCGGTCGGTCTTCCGCGGGGTAGCAGGCATGAAGAGCGCACACCGTTTCAAGGCGGCTCGAGTAGGCTAATAGGCAAAAGTCCCCTAGAAAACAGGAAAATGGGGCATTGTGCTGCGACTCCGCGGATTGAAACCGGATGCAGTCGTGGTGATGCTTGAGGTCCGTCCACACCAGCGCCGGTGAGGAACCGGCTCACCTGTTCCCCCGCTCGATTGAGCGAGCAGCGTGGACCCTGAACATCGGCAATTTTCCCGCAAGGAGATCTAGCGAGTGACCTGCCCGGTGAGACTGCGGCTGTCTCTGGATTGCCGCGATTGATGTATAACCTAATCACCATTGGAAGACTAGGCAAGGTACACACCAAGCCAAGTCTCAAAATTCGCCCGACTGGAGTATTTCGAATGAATGAAATGAGCTCAAGCACCTTTCTTCACTGAGAGAGTCCTTGGCACTTCAGACGTCATAGCACAATGGGCTGCGATCTCATAGTAGGGAACTTTGGGCAGGATCTCACAGAGTCATCACTATGAACTCTCATCGCGAAAGGGCTCAAGGTCATCTGGCTCACTACCGATGATGAAATAATGAGAGCCCACCCAAAATTCTTGAAGATTTTGGGTAATTTGTTCGTGGTGCTTGAAAGAAATGACTCGCTGGGTTGACGGCGCATTTGTACGTAAAAATTTCCAGGGTGTTGACAATGGCGACCCTCAAAAGCGGACACTCGCCGATGACAATAATTATCTGGCTTTCTAATGTAGAGAGAGTTCAATAATGATCAGAATCTTTCTATACCGACTATAACATATCATCGCATTCTCTCGTCGGTCGTTAGCCAGCCTAAGTAAGTAACCTGTAGCAAGTGATGTGACCAGGCTCATTGAATGGCTTGTGTGATCAGACGTACATATGCCGAGGCCGTGATGGATCGATCTTCCGGCGGACTCCTCTGAAAAATTGCATGAAAACACCAGACGAACCACAGTTACTACTCCATGCACACAGTACACCCGATCAAAGTTGATCGCAAGCTCCGATGTACCGCCGCAAGTGGCTCTCCTCACCCCTCACTAATATCGGGAAATCCCTGCAGCTCGCGGGGGTTGGGCTGGATCGTCTAGATGGAGATGATCTGATAAGATAAAAACTTATTGCTCACCACACTCACGCAGCATTCTGCCGCCCATCCATTCATGTTACAACTACACCCTTGTCTTCTCTTTTGAGCAGCCAGCAGCCTACTAGGGCCCCCCAAATTTGGCGAAAAAATTGCTGCAGAACTGCAGAAAATCGCTCGCTCGCTTGAAGGAGGGGCGGGCGGAAACGTAATAACGAACGTTGGTTCTCGCCAGCCACAACTCTATCCCGAATCCGAGCGACAGCAAGACGCCCGTCAACGGATGTAAGGCACAATCCAGGACCCTCTCTATCTCACAGTCTCTCCTCAGTCCTCATCTCTCTTATCTGTATCTTTCTCACACGGCCTTGCTTTTTGTTACTGCAGCTGCTACCCTGGTTACTCTCTGCACACTGGAGTTGAGTTAGCCGCGACGATCCGATCCAGTTCAGATGCCGCCCTTGGTCCCTCCTACGCGACGCTCGCGCAACGGCTGCATCGACTGCCGCAAGGCAAAAGTCAAGTGCGATGAGATTCGCCCCTCATGCGGAACTTGCGCTCGACGTAGGCTCGTGTGCCAGGGATACAAGACGCAGCCCGGCGCTGCACAGCATGCCAGGCACTCACCCTCGTCGCTGCTGGCTGCCGGTGCTGGTGCCAGTAATACTGCCGCCGGAGCAGCAAAGGAATCAGTGCCGGGATTTGCATCAAAATCTCCGGACCTCCTCTCCGTAGCCGTCTCCGCCGGGTCTACAAGCAGCAGCCCAACGACGCCGGCGGCGCAAAGAGCACCACCGACTTCAAATCGGCAGACACTGGCTCTAGATACACGCACTTTCTCTCTGCTTCCTCCAGGATCGGTGCCTGTCGCAGACCAGCCGTATCTAGAAGTCTACTTCAACAGACACCCCTTCGAGCTGCTGATAGGTCACGAGTTCGTGTGCGAGATGAACGCCAACATCGTGATGATGCTGCAGCAGGATCCGGTGGTGATTGCTGACACGATTTCGGCTATTGGCTACTCATATGATGTCGGCAGCTCTTCTGCGGCGCTGCTGCCGGTACTGAATCGGAGGGCAAAGATCCTCGCTAACCTGAGGAATATGAAGCCCTCGACTCACTACTTCGAAGAGGCGCTCTTCCTGCTTCTCGGACTGTGTGCAATGGAAGTGAGTCCATATTCTCTTTTTCCCTCTTCCTCCTGCGCGGGTCGGTCTTCATCACTACTGCTCGGGACTGGACCATAAACCCGTGGACCTTGCATTAGATCGATGGATGGGCCACTACACCCCAGTGACCCGATTCGCATTGCTCACAGGGTCTAGCTCGTCACTTTGGCACAACCTGGACACCATGCAACCATACCCACAGTCCTATCAAACGTGGCCTCACTTATCAGTCACCACGTCTCTACGGGGGGCGACGTATCTTCCGTCGCGAGATACTACCTCAGAGCACTGGCGAGACAAGACCTTGTTGTCTCCTTGATCCAGCTCCGGCGTCCTAGAGTTCCCAGCTACGTTTGGCTGGAAAACGAAGCGGCTAAACCAGACCGTCTTCTTGGGTATACCGTTACCCTCATGCCGTTGCTAGAGGAGCTCTGCACTTTAGCCGAAGAGGTCCGCGACCAGATCCTTCAGCCTGCTTTTGGAAATACCCTCTTGGGTGGTGGCAGCGCAACATCGCCGACAGGCACAGAGGAACGGGGTTCATCGTCTCCGCCCGTATGCGTCGACAGCTGGCTCGACGCCGGCTACTCCAACCTCGCCTTCCGCGCCGACTCCCTTCGCCTGCGCCTCGAGTCCTGGAAGCCCACAATCTCAGACAGTCTTTCCTTCCGCTCAGCGCGCAAATTCCGCGCCCAGGCTGCCTGTTACCGCGCGGGCGCTCTCCTCTACCTGCACCGGCTCTTCTGCCTCCCCGGGTCCACGGCGGACGCGGACGGCGAGGCGTTGAGCAAGGCCCACGACGTGATGCTGTACACGAGCGGACCGCCCTCCGAGTCCAAGATGCTGCTGTGGCCCGTCTTCATGGCTGCTTGCGAAATGCTGGACGCGGACGACCGGGCTGCCGTGCTCGACGTCTTTGACTCGATTGGCACGCACCGCAAGACGGTTACGGTTGAGCGGACGAGGATGTTTGTCGAGGAACGGGTTTGGAAGGCGAGGGATCAAGGGAGGGAGTGGAATTGGATGATTTTAGCGCAAGAGTTTCCGGGGGAGTGTTTGCCGATCTGATTCGATATCCATCAACTGGGAGGTCGGCCGGCGTGTGGGTGAGGTAATTAAACAACTCACCCTGGGTTCGGGTTGTGGCGGCGGCGGCACGACGGGCGGCATTTCATCATGAGCCGGCCCTTTTTCTCTCCCTCCACCTCATAAGCATGATTTTATGAAACAAAACGGGTGCATTAGCTTAGCTCGCAGAATTGTCTCCCAAGGGGACATGTTTGACGTTGAAATAGGCTTCACTGCAAGCGCATCCAGTTGTTCGTGGATCGGGTCCCACGCGGTCTAGTCCTTCACGGTTCACCCGTTGTCTCGGATTCATAAGCTCTGAACCTGGCGACCACGTTGCGGCGCAGGCTTTGGCTATCTTTGCTATCATGACAGGCTATCTTGATAAAGCACGTCAAGAACGTCAACCACAGGTTCGAAGCCTTGGGCACGGTGAATGAACCAATCATCATTCAATGCTGTTGGCACACTTGGCATTCCCGCATATTTCTCTAAAGCCTTTCTTAGCCAGCGCCAAGAGCGGATATCTGATCGGCCAGCTTGTTTCTACCATCGGTCGTCTTTTCCTCAAGTGGCCTTATTTCCATCTCAAAACTCAAGCTACTACTCTTCCAGTGTCTCCTAACAAAAATGGACGGATCAGGTGCGGGGTCCAATGTGACCTCGGAGACAATCGGCGTCACGCTTGGTGGCAGCGGGTGGAAAGTGTGAAAAGTCTCTCGCAGATCCCTGGGGTGGTCTTCAGGGGTCTATGAATCTGATAAGGTCGAGCTGCAGATGGACTCGCACCACTTGATCAATCTGATAAGCCGCTGGGATGGAGGGTGGACTATCCCGTGTGGGGGGTGCGGTGTTTTTATTACCGACATAAGAGCCACATCTGCTCTTTTAGACCGAAGTATTCAGCAGAGGTGGAAAATTTGCACCAGCTACCGGGACGGTTCTCGAGCTTCAACTTCTTGTCCGAGTTCCTCAACGAACTTGTCAGACATTGACGATTGTTGTCTGAACAGAAGATCTATTACAGACTCTCATCGTGTGTAGAAACCGAGTGGGGATCCTCTTTCAACCCAAGACCCGCCGTCGACTACATCAGCCACAATGGCGAAAAGACTACTCGAGAGATTCCGGGTGCGAGATGACCATGAGCACGGATACGAGACGACGAAATGGATCAATCCTGATATCGCTCCTCTGCCTCCCAACAGAAGAACGTGGGGAATGTGGGCATTCCTGGGTTTCGGATCCATCTCCAAGTAAGTCTGGTAGAAGCTGCATTAGCTCAATTCACTGCATTTATGTCCAGATGTGCTAATCATATTTCTACAGTCTTTGCATTTCGGCATGGACAGGCGCGGCTTCTCTGCTGTCGCTGGGTCTCACCATCCCGCAGACCATCGGTCTGATGATCCTGGCCAGAGCTCTGATTTGTCTGCTCGTCATCGGAAACGGATGGATGGGCTCCGAATGGCACATTGGGTTCACTGTGTCTCAGAGGTAAGCGCTGCAGATTGTCACTATTTTTTTTCTATGTTAAAAGGCACGTGAAACTAACCTGGATCCTGCAGAATCATTCTGGGTATGAACGGTGCCTACATTGGCCAATTGATCCGAATCATGCTATCCATCGTCTGGTACGGCTCTCAAGCCTGGCTGGGTGGTCTCTGCGTGTCTGCTATGCTTAGCAGCTGGAGCTACAACTTCTTGATGATGGAGAACACTCTCCCAGAGAGCGCGCACATGGTCACCAGAGACCTTGTGGGATTCGTCATCTTTCACTTGATCTCGGTTCCATTCCTGGTGAGGAAATCTTGCTAGAGCTTCTGAGGCCTCTTACTAACTCTCTTCTTGTAGCTCATCAGGATTGAGAAAGCTAAGATTCCCGTCATCACAGCCAACCTCATTGTCTTCGTCACGATGATGGGCATCACTATCTGGGCCTGCACTACCGGCGGTACAGGTCCTCTCTTCGAGTCCGGCGCCAAGCAGCCCTCTCTTCTCACAAAGGAATGGGCCTGGGTCTACGGCATCATCGCCTCAGTCGGCAACATCTCAGCCGGTATCCTCAACCAGTCCGACTTCACGCGTTTCGCCCGCAAGCAAGGCATCCAGGTCCCTGGCATCATCTTCTCGCTCTTCATCCCGGGCATGATCGTGCCAATTTTCGCCATCCTTACTGCCTCGGCCTCCATGGAGATTTGGGAGCTCGAGGAGCCCATGTGGAACCCGCTGACCGTCATCACGCAGTGGATGATGGACGACTACAGCTCCAAGGCCCGCGCCGGTGCCTTCTTTTGCAGTTTGGGCTTCGTTCTTGGTCAGATTGCGGAGAACATCCTTGGTAACGGATATGCTGCTGGTATGGATCTCGCTGGCCTGCTCCCTACCTGGATCACCATCAAGCGTGGCGCGCTTCTTGCCGCCGCTCTATCCTGGGCCGTTCAGCCGTGGGAATTTTACAACACTGCTAGCACGTTTGTGTCTGTGGCGGCTAGTTTCTCAGTCTTTATGGGCCCCTTGACTGGCATCATGATGACCGACTACTTTATTGTCCGCCGGCAGAAGATTGAAATCAGCCAGTTGTACACTGGGTCCAAGGAAGGGGCTTACTGGTACACCTACGGATTCAACTGGAGAGCCTTTGTCGCTTGGGTCGTTTGCTTCGTCCCCGCCATGCCAGGTATGATTGCCGCCGTCAACCCCAACGTTAAGATCAACGACGGACTTTACAAGTATTACCTTGGCAACTACATCTTCGGTTTCCTCGAGGCTGGAGCACTCTACGCTCTCCTAACCTTTGTCTTCAAGCCACAGAGACTTGGATGCCAGGATGACTTTGATCTCTACGGCACATTCGAGGATGATGTTGCGATCAGCAAGGGCATGGCGCCTTTTGAAAGACCCAAGGGGATTGATGGGCCCATCGAAGGAAGATCGGTACATCTCCAAGACGACGGGTCCAAGAACAAGCCCGGGCCCTCGATTGCTGTTTGAAAGCTTTGATACCCATACTTACATGCAGAAAAGGGAGGATGTACTGGTGAACTTATATCACTTGTTGCAAGTCGCGTAGAAGGTGGATTATAGCTAGCTTAAGTCTAAAACGTGAAATTTCTGAGCAATAGCAAGCATCACTTGACTAGACCTATGCTGGCTGCTGCGCCGTTCTATTCCCAATACTTCGCTATCACCTTTGCGAGACGCGCGACCCCGGTGCTGATTTCTTCTTTCTGCAATGAGTCAAATTAGTAATCTCCCATATCCTGAGGGCGTTGAAATCAATCGACTTACTGTCGGCGTCGCGAAAGAGAACCGGAAATGCGCCGTACGTGGATCAGCACCTCGAGCGGCAGTAGTCATTTTGTCAGGCCCCTGCCAGGCATGATAGTACGATCCCGGAGTGAGAAGAACAAGTTCCGTCGCCCACGCCTGCCACAGCTCATTGGCAAAGTCCTGCTCTGGATCTTTGCTCTTTCCGGCCTTCTCAATCTCCATGAAGCGGTCGATGCCGTCAAAGTAGAACTTACACCAGACGAACATACCAGCTCCAGGGTCAACGAAGCTGAAGACAGGTTTCACCTTGCCATCATGGGAGCTCTTGACACACACTACAAGACCCTGCGCTTCAGGTATAGGCGACTCCTCCGCAGGCAGAAGGTCAAAGTGGGCGCTAAATGCGTCCAGAAGCCAGTCTCGCCTGGTACGGTACTGAAACTGTAGATTTTGCAGCCAAGTGAGATAGCCGTCGATACCCCATTTCTGAAGGAGACCAAGAACGAAGGCCTGACTCAACCCTGCTGGGTCCTGTGTCTCGACTTCAGTTGCGCGGAGGAGACGTTCGGTGAAGACCGGGTTGGCGACGAAGTATCCTAGACGGAGGCCGGGGAACAGGGTCTTCGAGAAGGAGTCGAGACGAATGACTCTGCCTTGGGTGTCCATAGAGAGGAACGTAGGCACGAGGGTATTGAGAAAATCTGGGATGGATTTGGGCGTGAAGGTTGTTTCTATGGGCGATCCGTAGCCTGGGTATTGGAGGAAGTAATAAGGATCATCCTCGACGATGATAACGTCTACTATCTATCAGCAACTTCTCTGTAGGTGAACCTGAGCAGCTCGAGCGTACCAAACTCAACGCAGATGTCGTAGATTTCTTTTCTTCTTTGTGCTGAGATAGTGATTCCTGTCGGATTTGATCCGACAGAAACAAGATAGAGTCTGTTACTCATTAATCATTCATTGGACTCATAGTGTTGAGGTCTGCAGGTACACTTACACTCTTGGTCTTCGCGATCCTCTTTCCTGCTCATCCCAACTCGACAAAAGATGTCTAAGATTCTTCGCCATGATTCCTGCCGCATCAGCAGCAACTGGAACAGCTTTGATGCCCATTGGGATCCAGAGAGCCTGAGCTGAAGGATATGTAAACTCTTCGACGATGACAAAGTCGTCGTCCTCGCAGAGTAGTCCCACTATCTTTGCCCATGCATTGGTGTTACCGGGGTGTAGTAGGCACTCATAATCGCAAGGGGGCGAGTGCACTCTTTCTGTTAGCTCCTTTGCGAGGGCTATTAACTGCCGATTGCCGGCACCAGAACCTACGGCGAAGTGTCAACGTGACCATTCGGTGGTGAAAGTATTGGCTGAAGGTTATCAAAGCGGGAATACACACCATATTGCAGAAACTGGGTCAAGCCTAGATCTCCTGTAGACAAACCACGTCCGAATTTCAGGCTCAGCCCATCTCTTTTGTCTTGTTCGAGAGAATGCCGGTTGACTGAAAGTGGAGCTTCGGGGGACAAACAATCGAACTTGGCTTGGTCAAGCGGAAAGAGAGACGGATGAGGTAATCCTATTACCGTTAGTTTCATCCCATCCCAAGTATTCGGAGCTTTGGCGTTTTACCTCCGGCAAAGCTCACCATGCCATCATATCCCATGAATTTGATGATGTCTTTCAATGGCGAGGGATGACGGACTCTGCTCTTGGCATTGATATGATGT